ACAAAATGTTAACAACTATCACAACCTAATCCAATATAACCCATAGCAGACGGGTCATATTTATCGAATTAGGATAGTCCAAGCTCAAGATCTAAGTTTTAAAAAACTTTTTAGATTTCTTTTAATTAAAATTTGAAGCAGATAATAGAGCTTCTAATTAAGATCTAATTAAAATAATAATAATAACTCATATAAAAATTTCCTACAAATTTACCAATATGTATATACAATATTTATATTACAATATATAGCTACGGACTTGAAAATAGCTAATGACTACAAAAAATCATTAAAAATTTCTCTATAGTCTTAGACAAATTAGATCATGAACTCTCAGTTACTCAATGGGCTCTTTCCCTTTCCCCTGACCTGAAATAGAAGAAATATTAGGTGTGAGTCAACATAGCTCTCACTATGTCACACCTATCAATCTATGTTTCTAACAACTTGCTGATTTTGTATTTAACTGAATTAAAAAATAGTTTATAAGAAAAATATTATATCGAGTATGATATCAATTACAAATATCTAAAATAAAGTAGAATGTGCACTAAAACTAAATAGACAAACACTTATTATATCGGAGTAAAAAATAGTTTATAAGAAACATATTATATCGAGTATGATATCAATTACAAATATCTAAAATAAAGTAGATTGTGCACTAAAACTAAATAGGCAACACCGTAGTGCTCTAGCTCAACTTTCCTAAATTTTTATTTTAAACTTATTTTTACGAATTTTAAGTTGTTACATACAACCAGAACCAGCTTCAGACCATATTTAGATACTCACACACATGTAGAACACCCCTGAACACATGTAAAATGTGATAAACACTAAAATTCAAGATGTTATCTTTACTAGATCAGGTCATAAAATGTGCAACGTACACATATTCAATGGGTGTTACAAAAAAAAAAAAAAAGACACACCACTTGAAATGACCTGAATAAAATATTATAAGAATTTTATGTTTGCCTCTATATATGTTAAATGATATTGAATTTATTTAATAATTATTTAAAATATGGAAATTTCAATGTTTGAATTATAGTTAGAAATGTTAATTGGAAATTTTCCTTTGAGTTTTGTAGCGTTATGCGTGGAGGCATTGCAGTGATGTTCTTTTTGTATAGGGGGAACACACTTGGGAGCATAACAGCTTTGAGATTGGGTGCTACGATTCTAAACTCTTTTTCTGGAGCATTTGGAATGTTCATATAGAGCATTGCTGTGCTAGGGAAAGGAGCATCGTGATGCTAGATCAAAAATGATATTTTCATATATAAATATCTAAATGTATTTTCATTTAACCACTTCACCACCACTCACCAAAAAAATTGATAAAGAGATCAAGGGAGGAGAAGGGGAAAATAAAAGAAGATATAGGAGGAGAAAACTTAGAGTTTGGTGACTGCAGAGCATGATTTGTTTGTCGAGCCAATTAAGGAAATCACTCATATCAAGATTGATTATAAATATTATATTTCTAATTACAATTTTGACATTTGAACATATATATGGTTTTGGGTTCTTTAATAATTTTATTAAGTATAAGATACTTTTCATCACATTATTTTTTGTATGTTGTACAATATTTCATTATGATCATTTTAGCAGTTAGAAAGAAAAATTTCACCTTGTGGCTTTGTCTGGGTAAAGTATTGGGTATTTTATAAAGTATGTGACATTTTCACATTAGTTATAGTTCATTGATTACTTTAAAATGATATTTTAAATGGTATATATAAATAGTTTTCTGAATGATAAACATTTAGCATGCATGCAAATTTTACATTTGTTCTCTGCGAAAATCATAAATATGGAAATTCATGCATTCATACTAGATTTGGCATATATATGTTAGACACGTTAATATCTATATGTACATATCATGTTCATACAACACAAGTGATGATGTAGAAGATGTTTAAGTGCAATGTGAGTAATGTTATTAGGGCTCTTATATGTTTATATTTATGTATTTGTTTCTTATTCCTCCATCTGCTTTGTGCATATGTGAAATTATGAGTGTTGTTGCGTCTAGGAGTATTCGCGGCGGTATATATATATATGTGTGTGTGTGTGTGTGTGTTAATGTTTTTAATGTTCAAGTTTAAGTGATGTTTATGTAGTATTTAGTTCTAATCATCATGTTTAAGTTAAAATAATTTAGACATTAATACTTTACATAACTTATATAAATTTGTACATAGTTTTTATAATGCTTATATATAGTATTTATAAAGATATATATAGTGTGTATAATACTTGTATATAGCATGTATAAACTTGTATATAGTGCGTATAAACTTGTCCATAGTGTGTATAATATATGTACATAGTATGTACAAACTTGTACATAGTGTCTAAACTTCTTATACATAACATGTATAAACTTGTATAATTAATGTTTAATTCTTATACATAGCATGTATAAACTTATACATAGTATGTATAATACTTATACATATCATGTACATAGTTTGTATTATGCTTATGTATAGCATGTATAAACTTATACATAGTGTGTATAATTCTAATTTATAGTGTCTAAAATATTTGTACATATCGTGTATAAACTTATACATAGTATGTATAATACTTATATATTACATGTAAAACATGTATATAGAGTTTATTAAACTTGTACATAGTATTTATAATGCATATACATAGGAGGTACAAACTTATGCATAATTTGTATAATACTTGTACATAGCATGTATAAATTTATATATACTATTTATATTATTTATACATAGTATGTATAAACTTCTATATAGTGTGCATAATGCTTTTATAAACTTATACGTAGTGTGTATAATACTTTTATATGGCGTAACATTTTGATAAACAAGTGCAAATAAAGTTCATATTATTGTACTATAAAAGATAAAGTGTCACATTATTATGTGTTACTTAAAATATAAACTATATAACTTTATGTATGTACATTTATGTATTATTGTACATATAGACTTTGATTTCCTTAATAGGGATTGCGTGGTTTACTGGATTTTAGTTGCTCATTATGTATATCTACATGTTATTTCAAGGAAGGGTAAAATAGAAGTTGAGTTGAGTTGAAGTCAAAAAGGTTGAAATTTGATTGAGGAAAAGTTCAGCATAAAGGTATTTTTGATAATTCAATTATTTATGTTTTGATGAATAAAAAATGTACTTCATTAGTGTACTTAATTCATTTGGATGATATATGAATAAAAAAGAAAATAAATGTTTATATTTCACTTTGTATTTTGGATTTTAATGTCTCTGATGTATGATAAATAAGTTTAGTTACAATTCATCCATTATACTCTAGAGCATGACATAATGTTAGTTAGGGGTGTAAATAAATTGAGTTGACTAGCTAACATGTTGGTGAGTGAGCTTATTGAGTCGTGAGCTGGATCTCAAACTTAAACTTGAGCTTGTATATTAAACAAGCTCAAGTTCAAACTACATTAGACTCGGCTTGCAATCTTGCTCGCATGTCAAGTTATTTATCTGATGAGCTTTAGGGATTCTTGGACAACTGATAGTTAATTAGGTAGCTTATATGGGTCTTTTCATTGATAGGATAACAGGGTTGCTATTTTCAAGAAAAGCTTTTAATATTTTTCATTAGCTAAAAAGATTGTAAGTATATTCTTGTGTCAGTAATTAAAAGGAATTTAGGAACCTATAGAAAGGAAGTTGTTATTCATGTTAAATCCTCCTCATGTGAGTTTGACAATTTCTTCCTCCCTATTACTTAAAGTTTCTCTAATGCATTATGATGACTTCTCTGGCAATTGGTCATGTTGATGCTTTCTTCATAGAGTTGTCACAGTGACATATTCTCCTTTGCCTTGACCTGATGAGTTGGCTTGCAAACCAACCATTATTGCCACAAGTGAAGCTCAAGCTCGACTCTAGCTTGATCCTAAGGTCAAGTTGATGCTTGAGATTTGGTTGGCAAGTCGAGCTCAAGCTAGGCATGACTTAAGATTAGCTTAACTTATGTACACCCCTAATGGTGGTGCAACAATAGCCTATTGGAGATGTTGTGATGATTGATGAATGCATCACTTTTTGTGGTTAGTTGGTCACATTCTCAAGGTTGTGAGCCACTAGTGGATCCAAACTCTCCTAGCTCGATAAGTTGGAGTTGGGCTTGCGATTTAGCTAACAAGCCGAGCACAAGTTAGGCTGAGGCATGACTCATGCTCGGTTTGATTTGTTTTACACTCCTAATGTAGGTGCAACAATAGCTTGGAGGTGCGATGAATGCCACTGTTTTTTTTTATGGTGAAATATTTATATTCTCTGGGTTGTAATGACGTCCATAAAAACTAAATTATAATTTTTTCTTGACATACCATGCGCAAACTGGTGCATCTAGTTGCAAGCCAATTGTGGATCGAAAATCTTCTAGTCAGGTGGGGTGTTGTGGTCTTCAACCATCTCGATGATTACCAAGTTGGGAGGTACCCTATAAGTATTGTTGCTCATTATATCGTACGTTGCATATGTAGGTCTCGCGTGAATAAGCAGAAAGTTTGACCATTTGGTTTAGATGGAATATATCCAACATGTCATTTTTTGATCAGTTTAGGGCTCAAATAATATAAGAATTATTAAATTTTAATCCGTTGGATTCGTCGTTCAAATGTATATCCTAATTATAAATTTGCTGACATTTAAGTTCAAATGTTTCAAAATATTTTCTAAATATTTGGATTAAAATTTCAAGTTTTAATATATAAAAAAAACTCAAATTCATAATTTTTTTTTTAATTTCTACTACTGCTTCGTTGATTTTTTCAGTGGCCCCCCAAAAAATTATATCATAAAATTTGCCAATGAGTAATGTCATGAGAGTATCAATCTAAAGTCTAAACATTAAATTTTTAACGTTTTAAATTTTTAAATAAACAAAATTTTCTTGCTGATCTCACGCAAGGTCTAAACAAGAAGATTAGTACGAACCCAATTCACGGCCAATTCAAAGACCGTCCATTGGAAGAAAGGGTATTACTAAAACTAGATGGACGGTCTAGATCAGTTGATTTACCAAGAAAAAAAGAACGTCCCTATCCAGGTAGTTTGTTTCTCTTTTTTAGATCTCTCCGTATCAAAAAGCGGCAACCATTTAGCTCAGTATTTTCCTCTTCACGGATCCCTCGCCCTACTATTGCCGGCGGCGAGCTCGAGCTCGATCTCCATGGAGATGCCCTCTATCTCCTCGACTCCCCGCACCGTCGAAGAGATCTTCAAAGACTTCTGCGGCCGACGCAGCGGCATCATCCGCGCTCTTAATCAAGGTCCCATGCCCACCCCTCTTTTATCTCTTACCTTCTTGGTACTAACTCATTTGATTTTCTGCTTCAGAGGTCGATGAATTCTACGCACTCTGCGATCCGGGTGAGTCACTTCTTTTTCTGTTCGACGCGGGCGTTTTTATGGTGTAGTTTTTTTGGGATCTAGGGCTTATTGGTTTCGATCTTTGCAGAAAAGGAGAACTTGTGCCTGTACGGGCATCCGAACAGCACGTGGGAGGTGACTCTTCCGGCGGAAGAGGTGCCGCCGGAGCTTCCGGAACCTGCGCTAGGAATAAATTTCGCCAGAGATGGAATGAACCGGAGGGATTGGCTCTCTCTAGTAGCGGTGCACAGTGACTCCTGGCTGCTCTCTGTTGCCTTCTATCTTGGGGCACGTTTCAATGGCAATGAAAGGTACGGAGATGAGTTGGAATGTTTTCTTGTTTTGCGGTCCAGTTGATTTACTTGCATGGGATGAGATGCAGTTGTTATGAACCTAGTTCTTTGGTTGTTTCTGCAAGTTTCTTCAATTCGTAGATAACCATACAATACCTGTTTGAGTTGTTGACACACTTATATTTCCGTTTAGTTTTTTCTAGAATAAAGCGAAGTATTTAGTTTTAAATATTTGGAGAATTGTGATATTCCCTTCTTGTTTGCCTAGTAAGTTGTATGATGTATCTATTATTGTAGACTTTCTGGTAAATAAAAATAAGTATGATTTATTATGGATTAGTCCAAGTACCGGAGTTTGAGGCTAGCTCTTTTTTAAAATTTATAGGTATGCAAAGAAGCATTTTAGTCATGTAATCTACAGCAGCCAAGCGTCCCTTATTGGAATTTTATTAGTTGCATTATGAAGATAATGGTGCGACTTATAAATAGGAACTATTGTGTCTGGTATGATTTGTGAGTTATGAAGAAGCAAACCCATAGAATAAAGCTAGTTGAATTTATTGAAAGAGCGGTTTATGCATTGTATAAGATCTCTTTTGTCTCTCTTGATTTGGTCATTCATTAACCAGATCTATTGGTTGTTACGTTAGCTACATTTTATGTCACATCAACTATTTTTACAGAATGTGTTGGAATGCTTACTTGATTGTTTATGTATCTGGTGCCCATTAAGATGGATAAAGCCTTTTTAGGCCGGTACAGCTTGTTAAATAAAGCTATATGTATTTATGTTTGTTAAAGCTATATGTATTTATGTTTGTTTTATGTAGAGTTTTCATGTAGAAAATTTCTAAGCCACATCTTTATTGATGACTAACTTTAGCTCATGCCCTTATGAGACAACTCGTTATGTCTAATTTTTCTTTCTCATCTCTATTGGGATGTTTGAGTATTGACTTAAATGAAAAGTATTTGAATTGCTCAAATATTTGTTTGTTGATTGATAACTTCGTGAATGAAGCTCCTGCTAATGCTAGTGCATGAGGTTCCTAGCAATATAGGGACTGGCAAAGTGGTGGATGTATCATAGTCATATCATTGCAGTGTAGGGAGTGTGGGCTCCGAAAATTCCATTGGTGGGTGTTGGGTCGGCGAGGTCGGAGGCAGGTGAGTCCGGCTGGTGGCGGCTAGGGCACGGCGGCAGGAGCCGGCGAGCACAAAGTCGGATCGAGGAGAGGTAAGTTTCGAAGTTCCTCTCTCGTTCCTTGCTTGCGATCTTCTTCCTCGGTTTCGATTTTCAGAGCGTATGTGTGCGTATCTGTGTATCCCTCTAACCGTCCGAATGGAGAAGGATTTTATATCGTGAGTATGTCGGTTTGCAATTTTTTGAACGAACGGTTGTGAGGTGGGACCGGAGACGATTGTGTCGTTTGGGTATGTCGGTGGGGGAGTCGGTGCTATGCGGTTACAGTCAACAGGGAGGTTGTTTCTATGGCTTGAACACTTGATCTTTAGGTCACAATGGATTCAATCTAATGATTTGTAGAGGCACACCCTTTATTTGTTGATTATAAACAAACCACAATTTGCCTCGGCGCTTTCTTTTTATTCATTTTCTTTCCTTCAAAATATGATTTATTTCGTTAGTAACATTGAATGATCTCTTTTTTTGGTTTCCTCCTCTTCTTTATCATAATTTGTCATTGGTTTATTTGTTCACTTGGCAACATAATGATTAACTGGTGTTGACATGGTTTAGTACATTCAATGCTTTGTCTGGTAGCTTTTGGTGTGGTGATGCAGTGAAACTTTATTTAATATATATCTGGTCAATGTTTTGTTGTTATTATCTCATTTGTGTAATTCTTATTGGGGCTCCATGCTTTCTTGGAAAGTAACAATTTTGCTGTGTTATATTATTTTTTTACTAGCAATTTCATATGCATATGCTAACCAAATTGATGAATAGGATAAGGTAAAATGTTATTGAAATAAATTTTAGTTTATTGGTTGAATATAGATTGATCATGTATAGTAGTTTTTTGGGAGATTGGCGGTTCAAGAATGTTGGCTGAATTTGTAGATTGCGGAACTTGGTAGATGTTGAATTCAAAGTATCAAAGGTTTCCATTTGGCTAATTTAGCTATTAAGTTTTTCTCGTTGCCATCCCGGTTCTTAGGGAAGACCGAACCGGCCGTAAGACCGGTTCACGGTTGAACCGGTCGAACCGGCCGGTCCGGTCCGGTTTTCAAAACCATGCTTAGGACATCTCATGTTATGAAGTTGAAAGGCACCATGGTTGAAGATCTCTTTCTGACATTTTATGCCATTTGCAGGTGATGACTCTTGACATATTACAAAGAGTTCACTGGTTTTTTGGCATTTCCCAAAGCATATGGTCTACAACCTATTTTCTATAAGGAAGAAGAGATATAGAAAGATCCCTTGTGCATTGCGTGTGAGAGGTAGCATTCACTAAGAATAATTTATTTACACAGCCCTACGTCTTAATCATATTTATAGTCTATATAGAATAATCATGTTGGTTGTAAAAAAATAACTTTATTTAATGCGAAGAACATCCACTATGGAGGCGATTCTTGTAAGAAGTCTATTAATGAGAAAAGCATATAGAACAATTAAAAAAAATCGCATATGTTTTTCATTGTTTTTGAGAAAGCATATGATTGGCTACTATTAGAATTGATTTGGTGTGCCGTGAGGTTGTCTGTTAAAGGTTTGTTAAACTTAAAAGGATATGAATGATGGAGCATGATTGTAATTTATTATTAGTTGTATAGTCACAAAAGTGTTTCTAATCACAAGAGGATTACATCAAGGATCTACATCAGGTTATTTTTTTTTATATTGGTTTTGTCGATGCTTGTGAATGATATTCAAATTTGAGCACCATAATATTTGTTATTGAAGATGATTTGGTTCTAATCAGCGTGACCTCTTGCAACACAAGTGGAAAACTGGAACTAGGAAGAAAATATCTGGCTCAAGATTGGCAGAATGAATCTCAATATACGATATTCAATGTGGGATTGATTCTTATGAGTTGGTAATGACAAAAGATAAATTAATAATTAGATATAGTAAGTTTAAGTGTATATTGGATCTATTATATACATGAATGAGGCATAAATTTTATAGGTAATGCTAAGTGTTTAAGGTGCATAAGTGTTTTTGGCTTATGAGATAAGATCTTCTTATAGAGAGACTTGAAAGTTTAAGTTTATAAAATTGAATTAGCTGGCCATGCCATGGGGATTTTTGTGTTGGATGATAAAGAAGTTGATTGTTGTGAGATAAGAGTATTTACATAAATGTGTGGCTAAAAGAGTAAAGATGGTTTGAGAAATGATTAGGTGAGAGGGCCTATTGGAGTAGCACCCATTCAAGTTAAGGTAGTGAAATAAAGACTTATGTTGTTTGTGCATGATGGGGGTGAAGATGCACCGATCAGTTGAGTAAATAAACTTAATGCGAAGGACGATGAAGCAAACAATGGGTAAATTATGTTTAACACGGATAGAAATTGTGTATAAATATTTATGCAAATGGATTTAATAATTAAAGCAGAATCCAATAATGATGGATGAAAAAATAATGATTTACAAAGCTGATTCCAAATAATTGGGATAGAATTAACAATGGTTTTGATGATGTTGATGATGATGCATGTAAATAATAAAATCTTTCTTATTTTTTAATGAGTAAGAATAACAATAATATTAAAATAATAAGATAAATAATGCTATAATAGCATCATAGTTAGCATTATAAAAGTATTAGTAAAACACTATACGTGCATTTCTGAAAAATTCAAAGAAATAATTGTAGAAAAGTAAAACAAAACGAGGGCTATAAGAATAAGATAGTTTAAGAGAAAACATCTGTTTCCTTATGCACTTCAAAGGAGATGGTCACTAAAACTTGGGGAAAATGAACAGATAGCATAGAAAGAGAGGATCCAAGCTGATGGATTAAAATCATCGCAGCTTATCATATAACATATATTGCCCATCATATGTTAGATAGCAAGGAAAAAATAGAGAAATTATTTAAACAACTTGATTGTGAGTAAAAAAGCACTTAATCTTGTTGCCCAGTGCCTTAGCAAGGATGTTATCAATCAATTGTAAGGAACTCATTTCTTTTAAATGAATGCATATAGTACTTAAATTTGTTACCCCCTTTTGTGCCTACGTTCCCCAAGCAATAAAATGGGAGAAAATATCATAATGTTGTAAGGAGAAAATATGGAGGCATAAGGATAAAATATTTGCTTCTATGCACAGTGGAAAGGAGATGAATGTAAAAGCTTGGAGAAAGTGAAGAATAACTTGGAAAGAGGAGGGTTGAAGCTGATGGGTTAAAATTGTTGGAGCCAATGCTTTCAAAACGCCAAGCATGGTGCAAATTGCTAGGTTTTCTTTTCGTTTCAATGTGCAAACATAAAAATAAAGCGATACTTTTGCTAATTAAAGTGGTCATGGCTTGTGAGTCTGCCTATACATATCACCATTGCTCACTAGCCGTCATCATTTTCAGCTATCGGCCATTGACCACCATTATTGTTGAGTTTTACACTGTATTCATTTGATTTTTAACAAAAAAAAAAAATCATTTGTATTTATTTTACACTCATTCAAATAACTTCAAACATTTCGAATACATTATATTCATTTTATATTGTATTTCATTTTACTATGCATTCCTTTTTTAGCAATCCAAACATTCTCTTGCTCAAACTTACTTTAAGGCTAGAACAGCCGGATGGAAAAAGATTTGATGAACTTAATTTCTACTCTTTCGACATCCCAGCTACTAAGATGCAAGAACAGTAAATTAAGTCTTATCACTAAATCTCTTTAGTTTTATACAAGGAGGACAAATCCTATCTTAGGTCTCCAGCAAGGTTAAGGCTTGAAATTATTGTCAGGTGACCTGTAACAATGATCAACCTTTTATCAAACATTCTCATATGTGCCCCATATCCCAGCACACA